GAGACGCCCTCCCCCAGGTGCAGTACGGTTTTTCAAATATCTTCTATCTGCAGCTTGTTGAGTCCATAGATACAGAACCTGCAGATACAGAGGCCTGACTGTCTCTCCTCATTCTTTTCTCTCCTGCCCAAAAGACTTAAGGTTATTTCCATGTAGTTAAAGTGACAATTTTATGGATACAAAGTGGATAGAATTTTCAAGGTATTGTTATTAAACAAAATATCATGAATCATCCCTTTGAATTTTCATTATTCTTTTTGGTAAATTGAGAAGGCTCCTTGATACCTGTATATAACAGCTAGGAGCAGAATACATACATGTAAGATCCTGCTTGGATCAATCCTTTAAAGGACATTCACGCATGGTGGCATATGCGCTAAAACTTAGGAAGAAATAACGAAACACGAGTAAGTGTTCATTGTGGAGAGACAAACTTGAAATGGGACAGGAGAGGAGTACTCCATCTTCATTTTCAAGTTTTCTGTGTTCTATGTCACTGCTTGCTGGTATGTGTGTGTGTGTGTGTGTGTGCGCGCATGCATTCATTTGTTCATTTAAGATCAAATACTGCATATGGTCAGACAAATAAAACAGGGCCCTGAGATAAAATTTCTTAGAGCAGAGCAGGAGACATTGTTAAAGTAGTTCCCGTTGGGGCCAGCATTGTGGGGCAGCAGGTCAAACCACTGCCTGCAACACCAGCATCCCATATAAGCACCGGCTCCAGTCCCAGCTGCTCCACTTCCAATCTAGCTCCCTGCTAATGCACTTGAGAGAGCAGCAGCAGATGGCCCTAGTGCATGGGCCTCTGTTACCCACGTGGGAGCCCAGGATGGAGTTCCAGGCTCCTACCTTTGGACTGGCTCAGCTCCAGCTGTTGAGGCCATTTGTGGAGTGAACCAGTGGGTGGAAGCTTGCTCTCTCACTAGCTTTCTCTGTAATTCTGCCTTTCAAATATTTAAATAATTTTTTTTAAAAAAAACAGTTACTGTGCACATGCTGTCATTAGTGAAGAACCTGGGTTCAAGTAAAAGTGGCCACTTCTTGGCCATGTGATCTCAGGCAAGGTACTTAACCTTTCTGTGCCCCAATTTTCATTTGTAAAATGAAGATAATGGATAGTAGTTCCTACCTTACATACATTTTGTGACTATTAAATTAATGACAACGCATGATGCACTTAGAGTAATACCAGGTACACTGTCAGCTCTCCATCAACATCTGATCCTATCATAGTGAGGATAAGAGATGGGCATTAGCCAGCAAACGGGGCATTGCTTCTGCCTAGGTCCTGGTTTCTTGGGGCTTTGAAGGGGGCAGGGAGTGTGTCGTTAGAATTAGGGCTTGGAAAATCAGTAGGCTTTTGCCAGGTGAGGAGAATGGAAAGACAGCAGGAGCAGGGAACAGCATGAATAAAGGCAGGTGATGTGAGTACCGGGTCAGCCGCTCGCACAGGCACTGGGAACTCCTGAACTTTCCTTCCAGGAGTGTCTCAAGGAAATCAAAAAGAAAGAGAAATGCTGTTGATTTTTCAGGTCTGGTACGTAATTCCTGTAAAGTCTGACCCTTCGTACGGCATTTCAGACTCACTGGTTACATTTCTGTTTTATGATCTTCTTGGTAGACGTTCACACCTGATCAAACATCTATAAATGAGCTAGTATAAAAATGAAAACCCTGAAATACAAAGCAGATCCCTAGGCAGAACTCCTGGGCACAGGCACACAGTGTGCAGGGGCCCCCTCCCCTGGAGATCCAAGTGACACCTGCCCCTAGGGCCAGGACTTCACAGTGTGGCTGTGTGGCACTGGGAGGTGACCTAGGACCCGTCCGGCTCAGCACCCTCCAGGTGGGATTCAGAGGCAGGGGTCTGACAGGCCACATTTCCCTGGCTGTCCCCAAGTATGAGGTCAGACTATAACCTTGGTTCTCCCAACTTAAGGTAGCATTCAGTAAGTGTCCACGTGTGAAGACTGCACCCAGACGCTCTTATCTGATACTCACACGAAAGCTGCAGGTAGACTGTATCACAGTGGAGCATCCAAATCTGAAATCTCAAAGTGTGACACTTTTTGAATAATCTACATGATGCCATGAATGGAAAATTCCATAGCTGACCCCACGTGATGGGCTGCAGTCAAAACTCAGGCACACTAAAAATAGTGTGTAAAATTACCTACAGACTAATAAAGTGTATATGAAACAAGTGAATTTCGTGTTTAGACTTGGGTCCATCACCAAGATATCACATAACATAAGCAAATATCTTCCAAGATTTGAAAATTTTCAAAAGCTAAATTGCGTCCGCTCCCAAGCGTTTTGCCTGAGGGATATTCACTCTGTACGTCCTTTTTGGGGAAGAGGAACTGAGCTCCTCCAAAGTCGAGCAGTTTGCCCAACTCTCTGATCAGTGGTTCAAGACTTGAATCCAGGTCTGTTGACGCACTGTTCTGTTCACTGCTACCTGCTTCCTCCTCAGAACTGTCTTCAAATCAGCACCCCGAGGTGTTAGCCTCATGAATCATCATGTGAGGGAGATGTCGAAAGTCCTGTACTTGGAGTCCAGGAGACTTCAACTCATACCCTGCCCATGCTTGCCATCTACACACTGAACAAGTCACACATTTCTAGGCATCTATCCACTATCCTCCTTTCCTCTTCCATTCTAACAGATGCCTAGGTCGTGTGTTCAGAAAACTACACCTGTCAGCCTTCTTTGCAGCTGTGCTAGTGGTTGAGATACAAGCACAAAAGGATAAAAAGATTTCAAGGTAAACTTCTTGGCCTTTCATTGCCCTTCCTATTTCAAGCTCCAGGAAGAGCAGATGTGGCAGGAAATCCAGCAGTCACTTGGGACCATGAGGAAAAGACCAGAGACTATCAGAGACCTCAACTATAAATCAACATTACTAGGGCTGGTGTTGTGGCACAATGGGTTAAGCCAGGGCTAAGACACTGGCATCCCATAGGGGTGCCTGTTCAAATCCTGACTGCTCCACTTCTGATCCAACTCTTTGATAATATATACCTGGGAAAGCTGCAGAAGCTGGTCCACATACTTGGGTCACTGCTACACACATGGGATACCTGAATGGAGTGCCAGCCTCCTAGCTTTGGCCTGGTCCCACCCTCACTGTTGTGGCCATTTAGGGAGTAAACCAGCAGATGGAAGACCTCTCTGTCCCTCCTTCTCTTTCAAATAAAATAAATTTGTAAAACCAACATCTCTGGGCTTTTTAGTGTGAGGACCTAAATATTTAGTGTATTTAAACCTCTGTGAAGCTGCATGCAATTCCTAATCAATACATGGACTTAATATTGGCACTGCTGAATGTACCACTACCATTCAAATGTTTGTTTATACCTGGGTTGTTAATAAGAACCAAATTTATTTGAAAGCACAGCTGAATTAAAATAGCTGTTAGTCACATGTTTTCTCAACAGGAAATAACAGAAGTAGAGCTGCTATTTTAAGGAAGTTTGTAGCTTTTTCTTTTTTGCGTTAAAGGAGATTTTTTTAAACCTTTGGTAAGGTGCTCGAAGTCACTGCTCTCATTTGATCCTGAAAGAGCCTCTCCGAGGCTGGTTCTCTGGACTCACGCTGGGTCCTCTCCCATCCCTCACTTGGGTGCTGTTGTAGACCCACCCACTAGCAGGAGTTCTGTTGAGGAAAATCCCTGGAACTTGCTTGGTAAGGAAAACAAGCACCCTTCCCAAAAAAAGAATCTCCAAAGGGCAGGATGTGCAGCTAAAGCTCGAGTTGGTCTAGTGCCACACCTCCGCACACATGGGGAAGAACCCTCCAATCAGCTTCGCACACAGGCCAGGGTGGCAGGGGGAGCAGAGGAGAGGAGGGGAGAGCAGCAAGGACAGATGCTGGGTACCCCAGGAAGACGCAGCCGCACTTCCCGCAGCTGAGGGCTGAGCCCAGTCCCCCTCCCCTTGGTTTGTAATAGTCCGGAAAGAGTCCAAAGAGGGCCACGATTCCACTGGTAAAACTGAGTTTGAAAGCAATTAGATATGGTGATTTTCCCACCCGGCCTCAGAATCGACTGTGCCAAATCAGAACAAGTTTGTCTGCCCACCTATACATATCAGTAGCACTCTGGCATATTTTCTCTCTTATCCAGATCAACAACCGACCTATAAACTTGGTTACACTCAGTTTTCAAAATCAAATACCCTCCCTGGTAACCAAAACAAAGGCAAACTTAAGGAAGTGCATCACCACTAATTATAAATTAGCAAAGTGCTTACCTGAGGTTTTACTGTGTGACTATGATGCCAGAGCACTCTTATTTAAAGATGATTTAGATTGTTTGCAAGTTAGTAGCCCCTTTTGGAACAAATAAAGTAGATATAACTGCCGATAAGTTTGTACAGACGTCAATAGCACCATCCAGTTCAAAACTCATCTCTCAGAGGGCCCTGTCCTGGGGCCAGCATTGTGGCCCAGTGGGTTAAACTGCCACTTGCAATGCCAGCATCCCATACGAGCAATAGTTCAAGTCCCAGCTGCTCCACTTCTGATCCACCTCCCTGCTGATGCGCCTGGGAAAGCAGCAGAGGATGCCCAGGTACTTGGGCCCCTGCACCCATGAGGGAGATTTGGATGAAGCTCCCAGCTCCAGGCTTTAGCCTGGCCTAGCCCTGGCCACTGCAGCCATTTGGAGAGTGAACCAGCAGATGTATGATCTCTCTCTCTCTCTCTCTCTCCCTCCCTCTCCCTCTTTTTCTGTAACTCTTTCAAATTAATTAATTAATTAATTAAAAAAAAAAACAGTTTCACAGACTGATGGTTGTGAGAGTCTAGTAAAGGGATGAAACACTCATACAAGCCTACCAATTTGAAGTTTCAGAAAATTAGGAACAAATATAGGTCACTTAGGATCAGGATTCTGAACTTATTTGGAATACTCAGCAGCTACATAAAAGACAGAAGACAATGGTATAATGCCTTCCAAATTATTTTATTTTTATTTATTTATTTGAAAGGGGGAGAGAGAGAGAGAGAGAGAGAGAGAGAGAGAGAGAGACTCTGCTCACTACTCAAACGCTCAGTGAAGAGCCAGGAACTCGACCCTGGATGAACCATGTAGGTGGCAGGGACCCAACCAACTAGAGCTGTCACCACTGTCTCAGGATCTACATCAGCAAGAAGCTGGGATTGGGAGCAGAGCCAGGACTTGCATACAGGCATTTCAGTGTGGGATGGAGCGTCTTAACTGCTACACCAAACGCCTTTTCAATGCCTTCCCAAGTTGGAAGAGAAATTATTTCCAACCTAGAACCATAGCCAAATGAACTATTACCCAATGTATATGTGTAGATACAGGTGCTCAGAAGTGTAAGGTCTCAAAATATGACAATCTTGTATCATTTCTCAGGAAACTCCGGGAAGATATATTCTGTCTAAACAAAAAGTAAAACAAGGAAGAAAACCAAAAAGAGGCAGGGTCTCTCCAGACCAAGGGGAGCAAAAATCCTAGGATATCAATGGACTTCAGGTTTAGAGAGCAACTATTTAGAGATGCATAAAGTCCAGATTGGTCAGAAATCTCTGGAGAAGTTTTCTCAAGGAGCCAAAATTGATAGAATGTTTAATACATCTAAATATATGTAGAGGGGCCCGCGATGTGGTATAGTAGGCTAAGCCTCCACCCGCAGTACCAGCATCTCATATAAGTGATGGTTCTTGTCCCAGTGCTCCTCTTCCAATCCAGCTCTCTGCTTTGGCCTGGGAAAGCAGTGGAAGATGACCAAGTACTTGGGCCCCTGCACCCACAGAGGAGACCCTGAAGAAGCTCCTGGCTTCACATTAGCCCAGCTCTGGCCATTGCAGCCATTTAGGGAGTGCATCAATGGATGGAAGACTTCTCTGTCTGTAACTCTGGCTCTCAAATAAATAAATAAATCTTTAAAAAAAGATATGTAGAATGGATTTAGACAATTTGTATATAGTTTGGTTTTGAATTAGTGATGTGTTTTTTAAAATAAGCATTTAAAAAAAATAAAAGTCAAGGCTACCAATAACTCCAGAGAAAGGAGAGAGCTGAGAAAGAAAGAAGAATTTCTAATACATTGCTCTCAGGAATGAAGAGCATTTTTTAACTGAAACATTGTATTTTTATTTGCCAAAAATTAGAACCATGTTAAGAGAATGGCAGCAGGATATAGGGCATAAAAGCTGTGTGTGTGTGTGTGTGTGGGAACTGAAAGATAAAAGAGATCTAATCCTCATCTTTCTCCCTATAGAAGTCAATTTCTAAAACTTAAATACACAGAGCAAAAGGAACATATGCTTGTTATGCAGACATGTGGCACTGAACAACAGAAGAATGAGATAAAACAAATGAAAACGTTCACCTCTGCTGAGGGAAAAATGGGGCTGGGAGAGGCAGGAGCTGCTGATTCTCACCAAAAGCTTTACAGAGCATGTACTCATGTTAATAGAAAAGTAAAGTGAAAAATAGAAAATCTTCATGTAAAAATATTTTAAATAGAAGATATTTTTATTATAAATGGGCTGCTCCAATTTTTGGCATGACAATTTCAGGCTTTATTGTAACACCATGAAGATCCACATTTTTTCAAAGATACACCAGCTTCTCATATTTTCATTTCTTTAATTCTACCAAAAAAAATCCTATGTGAGCACCAATAATTATCAAGAAATTTAAGTAAGGTTTTAAACATGATTTTTCTGTTTCCCAAAAACATTGGGAAGAGTGTATTTTGAAATAAAATTGCTCAAGCAATTCATCATGCAAATATTGGAAAAACAAAAGATGGAAGGTCTCTCAAAGTGACTGAGAGCCCTCCCTCACACGGAGCCACCTGGAGGGTCTCTGGCCTCACGGGCCCCTCCGGGCTGCGTCTGATCTTTCCTTGAGCATCAATCTTCCCTGTTTCCGTTTTGCTCACGGCCCAGTGAGAACACCTCATAAACTCATGGTTTTGGCTTTTCGCAGGCTCAGTAAGAGTGAGACGGAAGTGGCTGGGCTGTGGGCAGCTGGGCTCCAGTCTCCTCTGGCCAGACAGATGCTCTTGGTGAGGTGGTCAGCGCTCACAGAGGGCTCCCAATTCCTGGGCCTCCTACACAGCGTGATGCTGCCGCTTCGGGGCACCCTTCACACTGGCTGTAACTCGCTGACCTTTCTCAGACGGTCTCTCTGTAGGCACGAAGGACATCTCCCCTCCTCACCCAGCATCTGCTGCAGAGCGCCTTCTGTGAGGGGGAAGTTCCAGCGACTGCTGAGTCATCATCACCAATACCCTGGTCTCCTGCGGCTCCAGCTCCTGAGGGTCCCTCAGGGAACTGCTCTGGGTGGGGGCAGGGGCAGGAGCAGCAGGAATCCCAGAGGACTCAGATCTCTGGAGCAAAGAAGGGGTCCCCTGGCTTCCTCCCCCTGAGGAGACGTCAAGCCCTGCACGCACACTGAGCGGCATCTGAGGACCTTTCACCACTCTGTGCTACAGAAAGGAAGTGGCATGTGTCAGCGGGAGCTTTCTGAGGGTTGAGTACAGCAAGTAAAAATCACTCCAAAGAAATTCACCCATTAGTTCTTTATGGTCAGATGCTAAAAAGCCCACACATCTGTACTTATCCCAGTGCTGGTTATTTGCAAGACATCTGGAGAGAAATCGTCTCATCAGGATGGAGCCCGCCATGATCTAGGGTTCTCAGCACTGCGTGTGGCACAGCACCACACAGGTGGGAAATCAGCAAACACCTGGGTGGTGACAAAGAGCAGGTGACAGGGACATCGTCAGAAGCACAGCCTACGGAGAGCTCCTAACACAGACAACTCAGCATACCGAAAACAGAACTGGGAATATGCTGTAGATAAGCAGGATGTTGGACTTAGCTCTTAAATTAAATTTTGATGGGCAGAGCATGTTTCAAAGTATATCAGGATTCAATTTCCTTAATAAAAGATCAAGGAGTCTTCCATGTTGGACAAGTATGTGAATGCGTCTAATTAGTTCTTCTCTTTTTTTAAAGACTTATTTATTTATGTGAAAGGCAGAGCCACAGAGAGGGGTGGGGCGGGGGGAGAGAGCTCCTCCATCTGCCAGTTCACTCCCCAAATGGCCACAACTGCTGGGGCTGGGGTAGGCGGAAGCCAAGAGGCAGGAGCCTCATCCAGGTCTCCCATGTGGGTGCAGGGGCGCTCCGTTGCAGCCCTCCCCACCAGGGACATCAACAGAGAGCAGGACTGGAAGTGGAGCAGCCGGGACTGGAACGGGGTGCCCACATGGGATATCAGCATTAGAAGCAGCAGCTCAACCTGCCATGCCACAACACCAGCCCCCGGACGTTCTTATATTCCTGATAAACAGCCGTCCAGACACGAGCTTTCTACTTCGAAAGCTCCAGTAGGGAATGTTCTCAGCCTCTGGAAGGTCTGTTTTCCCCACTCTTGCTCCCTCGTCTCTAGCACAGTAACCCTCTGGGGTTGTACAAGGAACAACCAGAGGCCAGTGGTGCAAAGCCATCCCTTTCTCTTGGCTAACGGCTCTCACCCTCTGTTGCACACTTTACCAATGTTTCATTCTTAAAGGGAGTTAAAACATTTCTCAAAAGGCGATGAAATAATCCACATATTCAATGTGCTTAGGACATACATAAAAGCCCAAAACCAGTATTAGGACTGTCTAATGGTAGAACTGCCAAAAAGGAAAATGTTTTTCTGGTTAGAGACAGATGTAATAAAATGCAAAGAAGATGGAGTGGGTGAGAGGAAAGAAGGAGCTTTGCTCGCACAAAGCCAGAACCATTTCACCAGGAAGCGGTGTCCGGTCTTTTTAGACTTGAGGTGCATGGTTGGCAGGAAACCAGGTCGCAGGGCTAGGTGTCTGCTTAAGTAGATTCCACCCTGACAGCCGCTGAGAAAATTACTCATTCCACCTTGGAGGAGACAAAAACCATGCCCAGAACTGTGGTCACTACCACCAAAGATGAGAAAGCACCGTGAAAAGTGGCCATGCTCCAAGGGATCCCAAATCTAAGCAACCCCCAAACCCTGAGTTTTGCCACCTATATAGTTAACCCTTTGATGACCTCAAGTTAAAATAAATGTCTGAAAAGCTTATTGTAACCTCACAGCAGGAAAGACCAGTTTCACAATACACAGTATCTGAGGTGGAAACCACGTTAGGCTCTGCGATTTGAAAGGTGGCCCATCCCAAGCGTGGGAGCAGAGACACAGGCAGAACGGGTGCAGCCACCAGGACAAGGGGAAATTGCTCTTCCTGTCTTTCTGTCAGTCTTCGTGGCTCATAAAGAACTGGCTCCACGTGCCTGGGAAAGCAGCAGAGGACGGCCCAAGTGCTTGGGACCCTGCACCCACATGGGAGACATGGAAGGAGCTCCTGGCTCCTGGCTTCCAGCTTCCATCTGGCCCAGCTCCGACCATTGTGGCCATTTAGGGAATGAACCAGCAGATGAAAGATCTTTGTCATTGTCTCTCCCTCTTTCTGTAACCCTGCCTTTCAAATAATAAATAAATAAATAAATAAATATTTAAAAAAAAAAAAGAAAGAAAGGGCTTCATTGACTACCAAAACCAAAGGCTGGGGACCCACCTGTGGTGCAGCCAGCCAAGCCACATGGGTCCCTGCACCCATAAGGGAGATCTGAATGAAGCTCCTGGCTCCTGGCTTCAGCCTGGCCCAGCCCTGCCCTTTGCACCCATTTGAGGAATGAACTAGCAGGTGAAAGATCTCTCTCTCTCTGTGAATGTCTCCTTCTCTGTGTGTAACCCTGTCTTTCAAGTAAATAAATAAATCTTTAAACAAACAAAACAAGATCCACCTTCTCCAGAGTCTTCAAGCGCAGCCGCCGCTCCCAGCTGCACGGAGAGGAGGAGGGGAAGCTGCCCAAGGGCGGCTGTGACAAAGTAAGTCAGCACTTCCACAACTTCAGAACGCACAAGACCCGCGCAGTGCTGCGCTTCCACACAAGGACTGGGGGCTTTGATTTCAAAGATCTGGAATGAGGCTCAAAAAAAAAAAAACAAAACAAAAAAAAAAAAAAAACACTACCTGGTTGGTTCATGTACTATTATTACTGCTGTCATCACTGATGGCTGTCATTCACCCAGGCATTACCACAGCTCCGTCACAGCCTTTATTCAGCGCTGGCCTCGGTCTTCTAAGTGCTGAGCACACAAGCAAACCGAGGCACACGCAGGTTAAGTCGTGGGTCCGAAGCCCACGACCCCGATGCCACACAGTTTGGAAAACACAGTTCTAACAGACGGCATCCGACGGCGGCAGGACACTCGGCTGTTACGACAGGGGCAGTGCAGTGAACGCTTAAGCTTTCTGCAGAATGGGAGGCGTTTGAGTCCTCACCCCCTAAAGGGAGTGCTTTTTGTTTTTTATTTAATTCACTGCGTGTTGCCTGAAGAAAGAGCTTCAGAAAGAAAAAGGCTTGGGGTCAGATGCCTGCAATGGGGGCCGGCACTGTGGCATAGTGGGCTAACATCTCCACCTGTGGCGCCGGCATCTCATACAAGTGCTGGTTCATATCTTGGTTGCTCCACTTCCAATTGAGTTCTCTGCTATGGCCCGGGAAAGCAGTGGAAGATGGGCCAAGTGCTTGGGCCCCTGAACCCATGTGGGAGACCCAGAAAAAGCTCCTCACTCCTGCCTTCAGATCAGCTCAGCTCCAGCCATTGGGGCCATTTGCGGAGCAAACCAGCAGATGGAAGACCTTTCTCTCTGTCTCTCCCTCTCTGTCTGTAACTCTACCTCTCAAATAAAAAAAAAATTTTTTTTGACAGGCAGAGTGGACACTGAGAGAGAGAGACAGAGAGAAAGGTCTTCCTTTGCCGTTGGTTCACCCTCCAATGGCCACCGCAGCCGGCGCGAAGCAGCCGGCACACCGTGCCGATCCGATGGCAGGAGCCAGGTGCTTCTCCTGGTCTCCCATGGAGTGCAGGGCCCAAGGACTTGGGCCATCCTCCACTGCACTCTCTGGCCACAGCAGAGAGCTGGCCTGGAAGAGGGGCAACCGGGACAGAATCCGGCGCCCCGACCGGGACTAGAACGCGGTGTGCCGGCGCCACAAGGTGGAGGATTAGCCTAGTGAGCCGTGGCGCCGGCATTTTTAGTTTTGTTTTTGTTTTTGTCAAATAAATTTTTTAACATCTTAAAGAAAAAAAAAAGATGCCTGCACTGCCAACTCCTATATCAGAGCTGGTTCAAGTTCCAGTTGCTCTGCGTCTGATGCAGCTCCCTGCTAAAGGTTCCAGCGCTCCAGCCCACTCTCTCGCAAAGCCATCATGCGCCAGCCTGTCCTACAGGCCACGCCCCTGTCCCCTTGCAAATAAAGATACAAGATGACCAGTGAATCCTGAGGCTTAGATCCGCAACAAATAACCGTTCGGCACCACAAGCGTGTCCCAAGCACGACACGGAGCTATCAGGATAAAAGTGATCCACCGTGTATGAGATTCAGAATTCCCTGGGGGCTCTGCATTTTCTTTGGCAACCTCATCCTAGACCCCTGCAGCAGACGCCCGGCTCAGGAGAGTTTCCTGCAGGCCTCTTGAGAGGCTTTCCAAGCTGCAGGCTTGAGTCCATCAGATGTGCTTCAAGGACCTTGAACCTCACTGGGGAGGGGGTGAAGGTCTCACTTCATTTCTCTCTTGAGGGCTCCTCCCGGGGGCATTTTCCCACTTTTTCACACCAACACTATTGGAAAAGATGTTTTCTAACAAACTGCAAAGACCCCATCCCGCAGGCAGGGGCTTCTGCAATTTTTTTTTAACATTGATATGGCCAAGAAAGGTCCACTGAGCAATTCCTCCCAGCAAGGCTCCTGGGCCCAATCAGCTTCCCACCCCATCCTGACAGAAATGCACCTGGGAACCCTCAAATGCTGGCTTTTCCCCCCTAACACGCTGCCTTCCCCAAAAATCCACTACAGGGCCAGCAACGTGATGCAGCATGTCAGGCCGCCACCTGCAACACCAGCACCCCACATGACCACTTATTCAAGTTCCAGCTGCTTCACTTCAGATCCTGCTACTGTGCCTGGGAAGGCAGTGGAAGATGGCCCAAGTGCTTGGGTGCTGCCACCTACATGGGAGACCCCGATGGCATTCCTGGCTCCTGGCTTTGGCTTGGCCCAGCCCTGGCAGCTGCAATCATTTGGGAAGTGAAGTTGGAAGACATCTCTCTCTCTCTTTCTCGCTCGCTCTCGCTCTCGCTCTTGCTCTCCTTCCCCTCCCCCCTCCCTCTCTGTCACTTTGCATTTCAAATAAATAAATGAATCTTAAAAAAAAAAAAACTATACTTCCTTCTGCTGGAAGACTCCTGGGGTCTTCTGAGTAAAATCTCAGTGGTTCAACAGGAATGCATGGACCGGTCAGCTAAGAACAGAGATGTTCCCCTGGGGACGCATGCCAGAGAGACGCCACCTGCAGCATCAGGTTCCCACATGGAACATTCCACATGGAATATAGCTGCCCTGTGAGAAGGCAGACGGGCTGAAAAGCCAGTTTATGCATCCTTGGCTAAGCTCACCAGGCAGCGTCTGTTTGTCCTTCCATAAGTGTCGTCAGCTGGCTGAGACATGTGCCGCCAGGGCTCCCAGGAGGGCATCCCCATCAAGCTACCGGCCCAGATGGAGCAGATTTTGAAACACGTTGCTCTGAGTGAGCCGCCCGGTGTAAAGAGAGAACGGATATGGAGCACATGGACAAGGAACAGCATTGATAAGAGACTCCAGCAAGTCACAGGAGCAGGTCCCTTTGTGGCCTAAGACCCCGGCGTTCACTTAAGACGCTAATTTTCAGACGACTTTCTCTTACTCAGCACTTTGGATCAAAAAGACCAGCCTAGTGTCTGAGGAGGAACAGGGAATGAATAGGCCAGTGTAGGGACCCTCTTGATGCCAATGAAATATTTAAAAGCCCAGGATAGTAATGGCCTGTACTCCTCAAACAGGGGACATGCTGACCACAGACCCCCACGCCCTGGGCTTTTTTTTTTTTTCTTATTTGCAAGAGGGGGAGAAAATACAATTTATGCACCTTAAGAAAATACGAAGTGAAAAACTATGCATTAGCACAGCAAAGATCTATTTCCAGGAAATGGGTCTTAAAAGAACATTCTGGACGCCCTAAGGTTGAAACCAGGAGGTGTCGTGGCTTTGAACGTGAGGATGAAAGGAGCCTGTGTCCAGGTGCAGGTCAGGCTGGGCTTGCTTCAGCTGCTCCGGGAGGCTGCTCGGACCCTTGGTTGTGCTCCAAGAATATCCTGGCAGTTAGCGTCCTGCATTAAAATTTATAAACCACGAAAGACCTTTTCTTACAGAAAAGTTAATTCAGGCTGCACAGCCTTTCTTTTTTTTTTTTTTTAAGTCTTTCAAAGAGAGTAGTCATCAGAAGAGGTTACATGGAAAGCTAGAAGTAACTAATGCTTTTCACTCCCCCAAAATGTACTAAAAATATAGCAACAGTAATTTCAGAAGGAAGGGAAGTGGCACCGAGTATAATTTCATTTCTAAGAAGTCCCAGGAATGAGCCCTGGAACTGCCAGAATTAACTTTTAGGACTGACAAAAACACTGGTAGGAAGATTAGCAGGAAATTGGGCCTGTGGGAAGGGGGAGACCAGGCTGCACCTTGGGGTCTTGGCCCTGGGCTGCTAATGGCTCCTCCTCTGGGACTGTGGTTGGACTCCGGGCAGGCAGGTCTGAGAGGGCCCCGGCCACTGCCCACGGCCATGGGCAGCTTTCCTTCTGCTGCCTGGCCACACCTCTTCACTCCCTCGGGACCCTCTACCAAGCGCCTGCTCTGTGCCACCCTGGTTTTAGTCCTGGCCATCCCTTAGATACAAACTGGAGCTTGACGTGCTCAGAAAGGCCCTCTGTAATCCCTGCAGATCGGGCTAAAAGCTCTGCTCTGAACTCCCATGGCTCCTGCTCTATTCTTAACCCTTAACATCCATCTAATAAGGTTGGGGTCAGCGGGGCGAGGGGTGTAGACTGTTTCTTCTTTCCCACCTCTCTTGACCAACCACTGTAGGACACCCACGGGATGCTCAATCAATGTTGGTGAACTGGATAATGCCACTCCTTGTGATTCCAGTTTTAAATGCCAAAAGAACTGGGAAATCTCAACCCAAAGTTTAGGGAAGGAGATTGATAAAGAGAAGTTTGGAGCAGGAAAGGGGTGCCCATCAAAACGCGCAGTTATGGCGCAGCTCTCCTTACAGGCTGATGGCCTGGGCGAGGGGCGGGCAGCTCCACTGTAGCATAAACTTCAGTAGAGGAAACCCCAGACATGGCTGCAGTCCGCTGGACCAGCCCACACACCAGCCGCCAGTCGCTGGGAGGCACCTAGAGGATCTCAGGCTCTAAGACCCGTGCAGGAATTTCCGTCTTGTGTTGCTCCGGATTGATATAATCAGCTGTTTCAGCCTCAATGAAAGGATAAAGTCCTGAGGTGACAGTAACATAACACTGAGGGCAGCACCATTTCTTGAGTGCTCACGCTGCATATTATCACAGCACCTGCTTGTTCTCCACAGCGGCCCAGAGAAGCGCCACGACCTCAACCCTGCCTCCCAGAGAAATCTACAGCAGCACAGGACTCATCATGATGCCATCACAAATTCCATTTCTTTGGCCTCCTGTAGAGCTCCTAGTGGATACCCGGGCACTCGGGAAACAGTTAATAACCCCCCTTGGCTTAGCTAGCGCAGAAATAGAACAAGCACTTGCATTTCTGCTTACAGAGGTTCTCTCCCGGCCCACGCACCTGCCACCCTGGTCCTGACAGTGTTTGTTGGCCAGCCCCGCAGCGACCCCATGGAAGGCCGAGCTGCCGGAGTGAGTCCCGAGAAGCACCGCTGGGGTCTGCAGCAGCACTGGGAAGAGATTTGCTAAGAAACTGACCATCTAGGGGGTTTTCAGGAAAGGCCAAAGGGACTGGACTGGAGCCTGTCTCTGCTGAGAGTGGCCCCATGTTGCGGAGTTTGGGCTTCCCTCCACCTCGCCCTGGCTGTTCCTCCCCAGCATTCCTCCCCTGCAGCCTGCCTTGACCTCTGTCCCCATCTGCTCTCTCCATCTATTTGTGGACGTGGCTGTGACTAATAACAGAGTTGGATTTCATTCAGTTCCTCAAGTGGATTCACAAGTTTCATTTCATTATAATTATTCAAAGGTCCTCCTCCTCACTTTCATAAAGAGAAAAACTATTCTCAACTCAACTCTCCTTTAATTATTAGATCCTCCTCCTTCTTCTTGCATCATTTTAACTCTGCAAACAGTTCTATCTTTGCTGCCTCAACACCGTGTTGGCTATTTTATACCCAACCGTGAAAAAAGCTACCTTCCACCACAGAGGCTTGTGACGCCAGATCAGTGAGGGAGCAACAATAGTAATCCCAAAACTGTTCTTGCTGCAACTCCTGCAAGGATATAAGAGTTTTGATGGAAATGGAAGGATGTACGTAAAAACCATAGTTGTCCATGTTCCACGAATTCATAATTTAAGAGACCTCTGAACCCAAGCAGCCAATAAGAGGAGCAAGAGAGTAATATCAGCTCAGAAGCAACGGTGTTTGCTCAAAACAAAGAGCCCACCTCAGAGACGTGTGTCTCATCACCGGGTTCATTCCACACCCAAGGAAACTTAGTGGTCACAAGAGTAACTCAACCGTAAGATTCAGGGGAGATGCACACTCAGCCCAGAAACAGGCAAGTACTTCAGTGATGTATATGTATTTTATAACCATCCACCAGCAATGACACAAATCATCCTCTTCATTGTCATTGGCAAGTCCCAACACAGCAGATTCGGAGGGAAGAAGGGACGAGAGCTGGACACTGATCGAGTGGCCTCCCCAGACCTGTGCAAACCACGATCCCCTGGGGCACCCCTGGCAGCTCAGTGAACACAGAGGACATTCCACCTCGGTGGCTCTGGGGGCCTGGGAATCTGCATGCGCACCACAGGGGATTCTTCTCCTCGGCGGTACTCATCCCTGCTGGATCAATAGCATCAGACTGTCCCGCAACTTGCCCAAAGTCAAGGTCACTTATCCAGTGTGAGTGGCAAAGCCCAGATGGGCCCAAGAGCTCCAGAGACAACAGGAGACTGCACTGGGGTTTGGCGGCCCCAGGCCACACATACTGGCATTTACAAGCCCTGGAGGGAGCCACCCTGACAGGACAGAAGCTCCCGGGCTGCCCCTTCTCACAGCACACACATGGCTCCCAATTACACCACCTGCTGCCTTGCCGACAGGGGCAGACACAGGATTTCCACGGTGCAGGCTTCTGGCACCTCCTCACGGGGACGCTGCCTCCTTTCCAGTGGGCACAGGAACTCAATGTCCAGACCCACCTCCTCCCTGGGGACCAGGATGACCCTATCAGGGAAGGCAGGACGTGCTGCCATTTCACATGTCCCTTCACCCTGGCTTATCTGACTGGCCCAGGGACAAGTGCTGTGTTTTGTCTGCCTGGGAAATCTAATGGAAAGAACTATTATTAGATGTATTTATTTTATCAAGGAAAACATGCTCTTAAAATGTTCAAAAAAGGATGTTGTCTGGTTCCCAAGGAATAGCCTGAGACCCTTGAGAGAATAAAAAATAAAACACATATATATGCATACACACATACATATATATATATACACACAACACATACAGATGTACACACTAAACACACTCATATACACACAACACATATAGATGCACACACATATACACACAGCACATATAGATGCACACACACTCATATACACATAACACATATATATGCACACATATATACACATAACACATATGTATGCACACACACATCTATATGTACACACAACACATGTAGATGCACACACTAAACACACACATATATACATAACACATATAGATGCATGCACTAAGCACACATATATACACATAACACATATATATGCACACACACATATATACACACACAACACATATAGATGCACACACTAAACACACACAAATATTCCAGTGTGAAACGTGGACGTGTATGTATAGGTAGGTGTATAATGTATGCACCATAATATGAATATTCCTAGGCATGCATATACGCTTGTCCCTCAGTACTCATGGGAGACCATTTCCAAGGCTCCCATGGATACCCAAGCTGCTTATGCAAAACGATAAAGAATTCCCACTGCTTAAAGACATCCTCCTGAGAGAACTTCCACTTTGTCTATGACCCTGTCGGAATAAGATCGAAGTCGGCGAACTCAAAAGGCTTCCATAGCCTTGGCAACTCATGACTAGAGCCTAGGGAGATTACTGACGCCATAAACAAGAGTGTCAAATTGTTAAGTGAACAACAGGAGTCACTGTGTACTTACTTCTCATGTGGGATCTATCCTTAGTGTGTTTTCCAATGTGAAGTAATGCTATAACTAGTACTGAAACAGTATTTTACACTTTGTGTTTCTGTGTGGGTGCAAACTGATGAAATCTTTACTTAATATATACTGAATTGATCTTCTGTATATAAAGATAATTCAAAATGAATCTGGATGTGAATGGAATGGGAGAGGGAGCGGGAGATGGGAGGGGTGTGAGTGGGAGGGAAATTATGGGAGGGGGAAGCCATTGTAATCCATTAACTGTACTTTGAAAATTTATATTTACTAAATAAAAATTTAAAAAAAGACATCCTCCTGTGTCTTTCACACTGTCTACTTACACTGCCTCCTGCAAGGTAAATGCTGTGCAATCGACCCTTACATTGCATCGTGTAGGGCATAACACCAAGAAGAAAGTCCGCCCATGTTCACAACAGATGCGGTTTTATTTTATTTCCCAGTATTTCTGATTCACAATTGATTGAATCCAAGGACCTCCAGGAAGTGACCGCCAGGAGCGGGGAGGTGTGGGGGAGCGGGCTGCATTCACAACTGCAGGGTGGGGTCACCTTCCTCTTTCAGGAGTTTTCCTGAGGTGAGCTTTCCCCTCTCCTAGTTCAGTGCAGGAGGTAAGGAGCTTTCTGGTTCTTCTCAAACGTAAATGCGCACATGAATCATCAGGGGCCTTTGTCATGAACGCAGATGCCTGGTCAGCAGGTGCGGGGCAGGGCCCGAGAGCCTGCATTTTACAGCAAGCCCCTTCCCCCACCTCCCGGCCCAGCTGATGCTGAGCAGAAGCGTGAGCTGCTCTTCCGAGAGAGATTTCTGTTTGCAGCCAACTGGTCCAAGAGCAGAGATGTGAAACAAACCCACAGAGCTCGCTAGAGATGAAGTCATTCTCCTCCAGGATGAGCCTCCAAGAGTCTGAGCAGTGCCCCTCGGCCTCACCACAAGTGACTGTCAACTGCATCAGAGCCTTTCAGAGAGAGAGTGGACGGATTCCTACCGCGGGAAGTCAGGTTGCCTTGCTCTTCAGAAGGGGACCGAACACTCCAGAACAGCAGGTGACTATTTGGCGACACTGTCATCTGGGAGTGAATGAAGATAGCTGGGGCCAGTCGGGCTGCACCGACCTCTCAGAATGGATCCGCCCAGGCCAGAAACGATTAAAATGCCACTCAAGCGTGTCCCCTAGGAAGATCGTGAGGAAAAATACACAAATGCAACATCTTCCCAAATATTCTGCTACATGGAGGCTGGCCTTCCTCTTCCTGTGTTTAAATGTTTTAAATGCTTACATTAATTTTTTATTTAAAGATTTATTTATTTATTTGAAAGGCAGAGTGAGAGAGAGACCCAGAAAGATCTTCCATCTTCCAAACAGCCACAACAGCCAGGAGTGGGCCAGGCCGAAGTCAGGAGCTGGAACTCCATCCAGATCTCCCAAGCACTTGGGCCATCTTCCACTACTTTCCCAAGGGCATTAGCAGGGAGCTGGATAGAAAGTGGAGCAGCCAGGACTCGAACCAGCACCCGAGATGGGATGCCGGTGTCACAGCAGTGTGCATTTCCTTAGATGACAGTGGGGGAAAGTGACACATTTGCCACCACTCCAGTGGGGTGAAAGGACAGATGGGAGGTGTTTCCAGCATCACATTGCAGAGTGTCATGTCTGGTGGGATGTGAGGCAGTGCATCACCAAGAGGTCGAAGGATCCCAACCCAGGAGCCTGGGACCAGTGGCAACGCCTGCCTGCAGGAAGAAGTCAGGCGTGGGATGCCGACCTCACAAAACCAGGTCGGTGGCACTCTGAGTGGGAAAGACACCCTGAGTTGTGTAAGCACGTGGCTGCCAGGAACAGTAAACGCTGATGGCTGAGACCAGCATCGTGGCACAATGAGTGAAGCCTGGGACACTGGCATCCTGTATCGGAGTGCCAGTTCAAGTCCCAGCTGCTCCACTCCAGATCCAGCTCCCTGCTCATGTGCCTGCAAAAGCAGCAGAAGATGGTCCAAGGGCTTGTGCCCCTGTCACCAGATGAGAGACTCAGATGGAGTCCCTGGCTCCGAGCTTCTGCCTAGCCCAGTCCCAGCCCTCGCGACCATTTGAGAAGTGAACCAATGGATGGAAGATCGACCTCAATCTCTCTCTCTCCCTCTCTGCCCCATCCCCTCCTTCTATCTCTACCTTTCAAATAAATAAATAATAAAAATAAAAACCTTATTGCTTTCTTTATTGAGCTACTTGTTTTCTTTATACCAAGAATTGCTATAACCAAACTGTACAACAACCCCATGCGCTTGGTGTTTCTAACCCCAGATAAGGAAACAGAGAGAGGCTAAGTCATGTGCTCAGAATCCTACAGGTAGCAAGAGCCAGAAGTGAGATTCAAGCCTTGGTCTTGCCTCTAACTATACTGCACAGGAAAAAAAAAAAAAGTCTCATATTGTAATATTGTAACTCCTCACTGTGTGTGTTTTTTGTTTTTTTGTTTTTTTTGGACAGGCAGAGTGGACAGTGAGAGAGAGAGACAGAGAGAAAGGTCTTCTTTGCCGTTGATTCACCCTCCAATGGCCGCCGCGGCCAGCACACTGCACTGATCCAAAGGCAGGAGCCAGGTGCTTCTCCTGGTCTCCCATGGGGTGCAGGGCCCAAGCACTTGGGCCATCCTCCACTGCACTCCCTGGCCACAGCAGAGAGCTGGCCTGGAAGAGGGGCAACCGGGACAGAATCCGGCGCCCAGACTGGGACTAGAACCCGGTGTGCCGGCGCCACAAGGCAGAGGATCAGCCTATTGAGCCGCGGCACCGGCTAACTCCTCACTGTTAGCAAAAAATATGTGAATAGGCAAATGTCAACTCTGGTCGGGCATGAAGGTTCATAAAGCACTGATCTTAAAGAAACTGTTGACGCCTCCCGTAATCCACAGCAATGTATGTTAGAGCATGCTAACAGTGTGTAGTTTGCCTTCTTCAGCTCATTCCGTCTGCCCTAGGAAACACTGGTTCCAGTGCAGTCTTTCCTTGGCCCTGTGGACCAAGAACGGCCTGACATTGAGTTCAACCCAGACCAGCCTGAAATGCTCCTGACTTGGCTGCCCCTGCTGTGACTTTTGCAGCTTCTCCCCACCGGAGGGCGCTGTGACCTCACAGCTGCAGAGAAGAACCTCCACCCCGGCAAAGAAACTGGACGTTCTTAATTCACCAGGCCTGGCTGCATTTAGTTAAAGAAATCGAACAAATAACCGAAACACCAACCAATAAAACACACTTCCATTCATGGGAAGATAAAGCAAACTGTCCTCAGAAAATTCATCTGTGAGAGTGGCTTGTTTTCAAATACTTAGTGCTTCATGTTTAAACTTTTTAAAGCGACAGTTACAGGGGGGAAAAAATGCCATTGTAGTGGTGTTTTTCCAAACCTCCAGAATGTGCAACACCAAGAGTGAGCCCTGCCGTAAGCCGTGGACTCTGGGTGATGACCACGTGTCCATGTAGGTTCATCAGTGGTAACAAAAGCTCTGCTCTGGTGGAGGGCGTCTCCCATGCAGAAGACTGTGAAAGGCAGGGAGGGACCAGGAGACCACGGGATCTCTCTGTGCCCACCTCTCCATTGTGCTGTGAACCTAAAACTGCTCTAACAAGTGAAGTATCGGGGCCAGTGCTGTGGCATAGTGGGCTAAGCCTCCGCCTACAGCGCCAGCAACCCATATGGGCACCAGTTGGAGTCCTGGCTGCTGCTCTCCTGATCCAGCTCTCTGCTATAGCCTAGGAAAGCAGTAGAAAATGGCTCAAGTACCTGGGCCCCTGCACCCACTTGGGAGACCTGGAGGAAGCTACTGGCTCCTGGCTTCAGATTGGCCCAGCTCCAACCACCTGTCTCTCCCTTTCTCTGTCTGTAACTACCTCTCAAATAAATAAAACAAAAATCTTTAAAAGAGAGTGAAGTTATTTTTAAAAAATTCTAGTTCAGGGGGGTGTGTTTGTCACAGCAGGTGAGACACCACTTGGGATGCCAGATTCTGTATCGGAGTACCTGGGTTCAAGTCTCGGTTCCACTTTTGATTCCAGCTTCCTGCTAATCGCACCCTGGGAGGCAGCAGGTTCAAGTAACTGGGTCCCTGCCATCCACAGTTTGAGTTCTAGGCTCCTGGCCCAGCTCCAGCTATTGTGGGCATTTAGACAATGAACCAAGAGATGGAAGAAGATTGATCTCTGTTCTCTCTCTCTCTTTCTCTAATTCTCGCTCTCTTTCAAAAAAATGAAAATAATAAATTTTGAAAACTTTTTAAAAATTAAAAAAAGTTAAATTTCTACTTAAAATTTCTACAAATAGAGGCTGATGATTTTGGCACAGTGAGATAAGCCACAGCTTTTTATGCCAGCATCCCATATCATAGCATGGTTTGAGTCCTGCATACTCTACCCCTCTCCAGCTCCCTGTTAATGTGCCTGAGAAAGAAAAGCAGCAGATGATGGACCAAGGTCATGGTCTCTTGTCACCCATGTGGGAGACCTGGATAGAGTTCTAGGCTCCTCATTTTGCCTAGCCCAACCCTGGACATTCTGACCATTTGAAGATTGAGCAAGTGGATAGAAGATGTCTCTCCCTTCAAATAAATAAATAATTTTTAAATAAGTCAAAGTGTATCTTTCATATATTTGGCAAACTAATCTATTCAGAAGGAGATAACGTGGCATGTTAGTTGCATAACTTTAGGAAGCCTCAGTTTACTTGTCTATAAAAACAGGTAATAATTACAGCAATTTCATGGGGCCTTTGGGAAGATGAACACTGTATGAGAGAGCTTAGCTTGGTGCCTGGGACAGGATAAACACAACCTAAATTTTAGTGGTTGTTATTATTCCCAGGAGAGCCAATCAGGAAAGTGTTTGAATGTCTCCTTATACAGTACTTAGAACAAGTTCTGGCACATAGAGAGGAGTACCTATCAAATAAAATCAGCAAGTAGAGATACACCCAAGTCCAAAGGCGTGAATCGTAATCAGGAACACACACACAGACCTTGAAGAGTGTAGAATGGATGAGTGGTTTCATAGCCATCCAACATACTCATCCAGAAAAGTGGAAGGAAATGAGTGTCTAGGCTTCTGAATGATCAGGGATGGCCACGCTGTCTACGGAAACGTCCGTGCAGAAACCTTGTCTCATAAAGGAGAAGAGCAGCTCCCAATCCACACCCTGTGTTCACCTTGTACAGAGACGGTCCTGCTGCTTCAGCCCCCGCCTCTTTTGACATCACCAGCAGCTGTGGCGAGTGAAACGGCTTGTGTCTCAAGTATTTGCCCTCCAAGTCACATTTGGAAGTTATTATTAGAGAGTCCAAGAACAAACAACACGGAGTCTGTCATGCAGCAGGGCTCAATAATTCTTTGCAAAGTCAAACAGAAAACCTAGGTGCAAAGAATTAAATGAATATTTAGGCTCTGGAATTATGAATTAAAAGTTTGTCTTTGAATTCCATTTTTAGACCTACCCCTTATTCTAATGTAGTAAGGATGAGCCTTAAACCCTATAAAAAGGCAAAAGAACAGGCCCATGATTTACATCCCTGCTCACTTCTCACATTTGAAACTCAAATACTAGAAGCCTGGACTCACACACTCCTGGCTTCTAGTCTGGCCTCAAACCACCGACAGGAGCACTATACCTGCTGCTGTCCAACCTGAGTCACCTAACGAGGTCCTTACAGCTCAGAATCCCAGCTGGCACACAGGGGACTTCGGGTGAATCGCTAGGGAGCTGGCTGCCATGCTGTGCCCTGGTGCAGGAAACAGCCAACAAAAGAAACTGACAGTGACCATGCAAAGTACTGTCCAGCCCACTGTAGAGAAACACAGCTCTGACAAAACAAAACATGTAAGAGGTAGCATGCAAGACTTGGTTGGGGGGTCCGGCGCTGTGGCCTAGCCAATAAAACTGCAGCCTGCAGAGCCAGCATCCCACATGGATGCCAGTTCGAATTCTGGCTGCTCTATTTCCCATCCATCTCTCTGCTGTGGCCTGGGAGAGCAGTGGAGGATGGCCCAAGTCCTTGGGCCCCTGCACTCAAATGGGAGACCTAGAAAAAGCTCCTGGCTTCAGATTGGCGTAGCTCTGGCTGTTGTGGCCATCTGGGGAGTGAACCAGCAGATGGAAGACCTCTCTCTCTCTCTCTCTGCCTTTCAAATAAATAAATAAATCTTAAAAAACAAAAAGACTTGGTTGGAAGAAAATTCTGATTTTCAGAAAGGATCATCCCTGCATGCAATGAATGAGTCTTGGGCAAATCTGTTTAACCTCTGCAGAACCCTGGATTTCTCTTCCAATGAAGGACTGGATGAGCAGACTTCCAAGGTCCCTCAAGATCTGTGCTGTAAGGCCCCTAATCTTTGAGTCACAATGTACATGCCACAACACAGACAGGTCCCATTCATCACGGGCACAACCACCCGCTCGCATCAGAACCCCCAAGTGGATGAAGCCACGAGCCATGGATTACACGACAGGTTTTTATCATCCCAGTGCCATCAGTGGATTAGGGAAGAAGATACTTTTCCCTATTAAAAATTATAAATGAGGTGCAAGACTTTCTGAAATGAGTACAAAATGCAAAGAAGCACCATGCACACCGAGGCTGTGTCTCCACACGAAAGGAGACAGGAGGAGGTGGGGAACCATGAGCACACGGGAGAAGAATGTGGTGGTGATGGTAACAGCATAGGGCATTTCACATTGCACAAAGCACCTAAGCACACACACAGTGCTTCACTCGGCCCTAAGAGCAACGCTTTATGGAGCCCAACACACACGCACTCTCATGCTAGCAATGTAAAGAACCCCGAGGGACAAGAGTCAGGACTAGAAGTCTACCTGTAACAGGACGCCCCGCTGTGGAGCAGGAAGCTGGGTGTAGTGGGGCAATCCTCCTAGAGGTGTAGACAGCAAGGTGGGGCCCTACCACTGGGTTCAAAGCCCGACTCCACCTCTCACTCTGTGTGTATATCTCACTCTGCCCAGGATTCTCTGGCTGTGGGACCTCAATGAGAACTAGTACTTATGCACCAGCCAACTGAAAATGCCAGAGGGTCAGTCACCCCACGGGAGATCCCTTGATGGCCCCTGGTACACCAGTGCCCCCTTCGGTCCTGGGGGCTCTGAGGGCTTCCAGATCCCAACAGTGTGGCAACCCAGCCTTCTGGGGCTTTCTGCTTCCCTACTTAATTTTCCCTGGGGTCCCACACCTATACCTGGAGCCATTTAACAAAGCAAGTCACTTTCACATGCCCTGATCTCAGGTTCTGCCTTCGGGCGGGAACGCAAGAGCCATGTTAGGTAGACAACAGTGCTGGGTACAGAAGAACCCTGAGTAAACTTCACCTGGTATCAGTTTTCTGCACTGAACTCTGATGTCTGCTTGCCACAATGTGGGCTGTTGTTGCTGTCTGTCCTCCAGTGGTGAATAGAGAGAGAAGTAGAGGTGAAGGGCCAACACCATGGGCAAAGACCTGCAAACCACCTCCTGCGCCCACGCCTCCAGAGGCTGAAGTGGGACCACTGCATTAAAGGGATGCTAAGTCACTCACTAACCATCTACTGAAAAACAATGTTGTGTGTCTCACCGTGCCTTATGAAAATCTTCTACTGGCATATCAAAACCATGATTTCACTCCATGTTTGCCTTTGTTAGAATGCTCTCAATGGCTTGATAAATGAAAAGTACCTTTTGGAAAAAGGGTACCATGTAAATACAGTCACCCTTTGGTATCTTTGAGGACTGGTTCCATGACCCCCCTGGATACCAAAATCTGTGGAATTAAACAAATAGTATTTGCACGTATCCTACTATGCAGATCCTCCTCTACGCATTGCATCGTTTCTAGATTACTTATAATAGCTAACACAATTCAAGTGCTTTGTAAATAGCTGTTATTCACGGGAAATAATGACAAGAACAAAGCATGTACCTTTCGTACAGACTCAATTCTGTTTTTCAAATATTTCCTATCTGGAATTGAATCTGGAGTTGCAGACCCTGCGGACAGAGGCCCCACTGCACAGCAAAAATCATGAAGGTGGTGTGTGAAGAAGCGAACTCTAGGGAAAAACAGTAGATAGTCAAGCATTTTACAGTTGTTATGTTTTAGATAAGTCGATAGGAACGTAGTTTGGTCAACTGTAAATAGGAATTTCATGATCAAGTCTGTTAACCATTCTCTTATGAAGGAACACGGCATTGCAATATTTAGTTTTAACTCTGCTACTTTAACTTATAGAAAGAGAAATACTTTTATACTACCACAAATTGCAGAAATGGTATCAAAAATCATTTTAATCAATTTAAGAAGTGGATGGAAATTAACATCAACATGCCTCATCTGTCTCTTGTCAAGAATGCCCAGAACTTTTCCTGGGCAGGTATCTGTACAGAGCCTGAGGAAACCTTTTCATCGTTTCAGGTTCTGAACGGACACAGACAACATTACTATCACAAACAGGACTCTCTCGTATCTCTATAAATAATGGTTCCAGGGGCCAGCACTGTGGTGCAGAGGGTTAAGCCATGGCGTGCAGTGCCAGCATCCCCTATGGGTGCCAGTTCGAGTTTCCAGTGATCCACTTCCAAGCCAGCTCCCTGCTAGCGTACCTGGGAGGGCAGCAGAAGATGGCCCAAGTCCCTGGGCCTCTGCACCCACATGGGGGACTCAGAAGAGGCTCCTAACTTCTGGCTTCAGCCTGGCACAGCCTTGGCTATTGCGGCCATCTGGGGAGTGAACCAGCGGATGGAAGATTCTCTGTCTCTCCTTCTCTCTGTCCATAACTCTACCTTTCAAATAAATAAGTAAATATTTAAAAATAAATAAATAAGTGGCAATTCCAAAAACTGCTGTTTGTAGAAATTTCCAAGACAATGGATTTGCCCACATTTCTAAACAATCCTTAGCAATGGGAGAGCTAAGAGGATATGCTATAAAAATCTGAGTAGACATTTTCTTCATAATTAAAAAGTTGCAAAAACTTCTAAAACTATACATGCACAATACCCCCAGTTGGCCTGTATATCCCATTGATATTTTCACTGAGAACCTCTGAAAGCCACATTTTCTTTTCTTTTTTTTTTTTAGTTATTTTTTAGTTATTTATTTGAAAGAGTTACACAGAGAGAGAAGGAGAGGCAGAGAGAGAGAGAGAGAGGTCTTCCATCCGCTGGCTTATTCCATAATTGGCTGCAACAGCTGGAACTGTACTGATCCGAAGCCAGGAGCCAGGAGTTTCTTCCAGGTCTCCCATGCAGGTGCAGGGACCCAAGGACTTGGCCTATCTTCCACTGATTTCCCAGGCCATAGAAGAGAGCTGGATCGGAAGTGGAACAGCCGGGACTCGAACTAGCACCCATATGAGATGCTGGCACTGCAGGCGGCAACTTTACCTGTTACACCACAGCGCCAGCCCCTAGAGCCACATTTTCATCACTTGGATGAATAACACATTCCTATTCACATAAAATATGAAAACCCCATGACATATCCAATAGCAGAAGTGTAGCCCTCCTGGTACCACTAAACAGCCCCAAACGATGACACTTGGGCAACAGTGGGAAAAGACTTATGGTACTCAGAGAGTGTAGTGTCCCATGATGTCTTACTTACAAGAAAACTCTATTTCTGTCTTTATCCCATCTTTTTCCTTGTCCTAAGTTAAGATGGATCAGGTTATTGACAAGCCATTCCAGGATCTGGCATTGATCCGAATGCACACGGGAGAGTCACGGGAGCACTTGTGTGGCAGGGTCCCTGGGAAGGCTCAAGGCCATCACGGAAGCCCAGCTCCCAGAGCGTTCTGTTCTCCAGCACAGCCAGATGCTGAGCCTGGTGAAGCCTGGCTTCCTGGTGAAGCCACTACAAGCAATGCCTTCGTAAACAGGCATAGGGAAACATCACCCATCTCCCTAGAGAAAGCTTTTCTTAAGCTGCAAACCATGCCACTGCCCACAGGGGCAACTAGAACCCTAAGAGGTTGACGACTGCTTCTTTGGGAGAGGTACAAAAAATTTTACACCTTTTGTACATAGAGCACAGACACACATACAATGCATTCACTGCTGTTCAGTATATTTGTGGCTCTGCATTTCATGAGGAGGGTGGGCTAAGGGAAAGGGGGCACAAATTGTAAAAAACAAAAAATCCTGCCAGGAACCCAGCTCCATATAGGGACAACAGTTCAGACTGCTTTCCACAGTATTTGCTAAACCGTCTTTCAACTGTTTCAGAAATAATTTATCATGTGCTAATCGATAAAAGAATTCAGTTTGCCAGAAGAGCCATTTCCCTAAACACACATTGCCCCCTCTTGGAACGTGTCAAAGTCCTGAGACTTGGAATTGTTTCTCATCTTGCAGAATCAGCCCTGTCCCTGCCTGAATTCCATTCCTGGAATAGCTACGGCCATCACGCGAAAAGCGTGGTCGGGCAGCCGCTCAAAGCAGAAAGCACGGAAAGGCTGGGCTCAGAAGGGCAGGTCCCCCTTCAGACACTGTGTCTGCATGAGATCTGCGAACAACAGAAAAAGAAGTTTGGCCAAGAGTCTGTTTTCTTTTTGTCCTTAAGTTGTATCAGAAGCAGGATAAGGAGGACAAGTGAGGTTATTTTTAGTTCTCATACACCAGAATAGATCACCAACTTCGATGGCATCAGGAATGACTGCCTCGAGGTTCCCCGGAAGTTGGTGCAAGTGTGTGAAATGTTGAAATGTGCCACATGCCACTATTATTATCCCGAGCCCTCCTTAGACCGCGGTGCTGGGCAGGGGTTCAGCTGGGGCACGCATTCCATTTCCTCTGGCAAGCACCATTCCCAGGCTGGAAACACTCAAACAGAGCTGCAAAATGAATCTGTCTGGGTTAAAAGTGGTTTTGCTACCTGTGCATCCTCCAGCGCAGGAGCCTGCCTGTGGTCTCCCCGGGCCATCAGCGACCGGAACAGGCGCCAGAGCACGGAAGACGAGAGGAGGCACACGGCACCTACGAGCCACAGGCCTTTTCTTCCCAGAGGTGTGTCCATTCTCGGGGAGCGGCTGGGGCCGCTGCGAGGCTTCTAGGCTCCTTCCTGCCCTGATCCAGCCAGAGCGTCCTCCACACGCTGCGCTGTGCTGAGGGGTGGGTGCCACTGGATGGCCGAGGGACGGTGCCTGCCTCTCCAGTTACACCCCTAACAAATATTCGTCCTCTTTAAAAGGAAAAATGTGACGGCCTTGTGTGACAGATCTGCAACAGGTGCAGGGGCCGAGGGAGACCTGCTGGCCATAATTTACAGTGACGCGCATGCGTTTGTCCCCAGTTCAAGGCCTATCAGCGCCACTGTAACTGGCAGCGGCCACTGCACCTGGGCCATGGCCAAAGGGCTTTCTTGCACTTGCGGGGTGAGGAGCAAAGAATGGGGGTGGGGAAATACAACTTAAAGCCATCTCAAAACCTCCACCCTCAGCCATGTTATTCTGAGATCTAAGTCACAGTCAGTATGAAGGCTGCTGATGGCACAGCTCCATAGCAGCTGGTCAGGAAATGCCACTCGGTATTAAGTCCACCAACTGCAATCAAAATAGGGATAGCCAGGCTTTTCTGCAACCCACGCCAGCCTTTTGTACATCCTGTTAATAAATATTTTGTTTTGCTGGGTCTTCAGAGCATTAGTTCCAGGGCTATGGGGTCCAGCCTCTGTTTGGGACACACCCCAATGCCATGGTGGGGGTATGAAAGTATTTTTTTAAGAGGCAGAGAGACAGAGAGACAGAGGGAGAATGAGTTCACTCCTCAACATCTAGGGCTAAGATGGGCTAAAAAGGCAGGAACCAGGAACTCAGTTCAGGTCTCTATGTAGGAGGCAGGAACTCAACTATGTGAATCATCACTGCTGCCTCCCAGGGTCTGCACTGACAAAAAGCTGGAGCCAGGAGCTGGAGTCGGGTATGGAACCCAGGCCCTCTGACATGGCACAGAAGGCATCATAACTAGTAGGTCAAATGCTTGCCTCAGGATACAGGAATTTAAACCTCGTTTTAGAATTAATTATTCTGGGGCCAGTGCTGTGGCATGGTGGGCTAAGCCTCTGCCTGTGGTGCCAGCATCCCATGTGAGTGCCAGTTCTAGTCCGGGCTGCTCCTTTTCTTCTTCTTTTTTTTAAAGATTTATTTCATTTATTTGAAAGTCAGAGTTACACAGAGAGAGAAAGAGAGGCAGAGAGAGAGAGAGAGAGAGAGAGAGAGAAAGAGAGAGAGAAAGAGAGAGAGAGATATCCTCCATCTGCTGGTTCACTCCCCAATTGGCCATAACGGCCAGAGCTGGGCTGATCCGAAGTCAGGAGCCAGGAGCTTCTTCCAGGTCCCCCATGTGGGTGTAGGGGCCCAAGGACTTGGGCCATCCTCTACTGCTTTCCCAGGCACCTTAGCAAAGAACTGGATGAGAAGTGGAGCAGCTGGGACTTGAGCCGGTGCCCATATGGGATGCCGGCACTGCAGGCGGCGGCTTTACCGGCTATGACACAGTGTCGGCCCCTGCTCCTCTTCTGATCCAGCTCTCTGCTATGGCCTAGAAAAGTAGTAGAGGATGTCCCAAGTGCTTGGGCCCCTGCACCCACTTGGGAGACCAGAAAGAAGCTCCAGGCTCCTGGCTGTGGACTGGCCCAGCTCCGGCTGTTGAGGACATTTGGGGAGTGATCCAGCGATGGAAGACCTTTCTCTCTGTCTCTCCCTCTCTCTGTCTGTAACTTTACCTCTTAAATAAATAAATAAATAATTTTTTAAAAAAGAATGAATTATTCCCCAATTAGAGTTTTAAACCCAAACCAACGGGGTTAGGATTAAGTCAAAAAGGAACTCATGAAGCAGAAGTCTTATAAGCACAGAGGTGGAGTCGTGGACATATTTTACAGAAGGATCATGCACACCCTCGTGTCCTATAGCTTGTGTACTTGGGACCATGCCTTGTGGACAAAGGACAGGTGATTAGGGTATCCCAGAAGGTGACAAAGAAGCAAGCATGGATAATCTTGGACACAAAAGATAGAGATCGATGGGGGGACTTCAGAAAGTTCATGGAAAGTGGAATTAAAGGATGAGTTTTATTCTGGTACAAAATATTCTGAAATACATGCATTCTTTTTCAGGCTGTGCACTTCCCATGAACTTCTGGAAGGTTTCTTGTGGAAAAGGAGGCAGTGGGAAGCAGACAGTGCTCAACAGTTGTCTAAGAATATTATCTGACACTTCTGTCTTTGGGCAAGAGTGTGTGTGTGTGTGTGTGTTTGTGTGTGTGTGTGACAGAGAGAAAGAGAGGGAGAGGGAAAGGGAGAGAGAGAGAGAGCATTAAATCTGAGAGAAATGCAACAGGAGGCCTGTTGGATACTAAGGAACTTAAAAGAAAAAACAAAACCCTGGATTTGATTACTAAGAAAAGATACTAGTTACAGTTATAAGAGCCATCCATTGTTTATATTTAATTATATACCTCAGCTACTAAGCTCATCATTCATTTTTGTCAGATTAACTTTCTTGTTGTACTTGATTTCAACACCACACTGCAGATGTTTAGGTCTAGTTTGTTATGATTGCAGTTATCTGCTGAAGACTTAAAATTCTACACTATGGTGGAACTTTGGTGACTTTGAACACTCAAATGGAAGGAGAAAAGCGATTAGAAATCAAAATAAAAAGTAGAAAGATTAAAAGAATACAACTTTTAGAAAGAAAAGGAAATACGTTGTAAGTAATAAATTAAATTAAAAAAAAAAACACAGAAAAAAAGAAGTTAGTTAAAAAATCAGTACAATAGAGGAGAAAGAAATGAAATAGAAAAACCTGGTTAAGAGCAGGAAAAGAAAAAGAATCTGAGTTTTACTAAATTATCTTAACAAATGCAAGCTGATGAAATCCATGTATGAATGTGTAATTCCCCCACTGGGACTGGAGAGAAGCTGAGGAGTCTTCTAGAAGATAAATCACACTGAAGATTCCGGAATGAAACGTGCTGTCACAGGAGCGGCTGTGACCCAGAGCCCTCTCCTCGCAGTGCTGCTCAGCAGCTGCTCCCACCGTGACCGGCGGTGCCAGCCTCCAGGAGAGGGGCACCCAAGAGAACGGTGACAGCGGGGAAAATCCTCAAGCACTTTTTTATAGCCCCTTGGAGAGAAGAGTGGTAAAGATTTACTGCCACCCCAGGAGAAGATGGAGACGTGTTAATCCCACTCTGTCTACATACCTGAAGTATACCCGAGCCCCTGGACGGCCTTCCCGTCCACCCCTGCCAAGCCTGCGGGTGGCCCTGGGCCCACTGAATTGGGCAAGCAAGGCCTCTGGCCCCAAGGCCTTGGCCACCACAGAAAGAAGAGCTCTGTGCCTCCAACACGTGTACCCATCCATTGCACACACTGCCAGGGAGAGAGACAGGGAAATTTATTGCTGCTATCTCCGCGCCCTTCTCCATTTACAAGTGAGACATTGAATGGGACCTATGGAGGTGCCTGTCCCTCCTCCCACCCTCCCACGCTCTCAGCTGCAGAGCAGAGGCCAGGAGGCCCAGGTGACAGAGGTAGAGCAGGCTCACTTCCTCTATCTAGGCATTCTGCAGTAGATGCAACACTCGCAGTCCTTCCCTCTAAGATACGCTGCTAAGAATCATTTACTTCTGGAGTAATTCTCCCTGAAGACACTTACGTTCCAACTTAGCACTATCCCATTCTCTGTAAATGTTGCCTTCTTATCAAAATTACATCAGAGAACTTGAAAAGATCAAATTTATTTATAAATTATGATAATCAGCTGATGATTTCAAAGTCATCCAAGAAGAATATTTTGTCTTCTATGTCCTACCGAAATGAATGAAGGGGAGTGGGGTTCTGTTTTGTTTGTCTATCCGCACTGTGAACGACCCTAATGAGAAAGTCTTCCATCTCATTACTGTGGAGACCTCTTACCATCTGAGACGTCAACTCGACGGAAAGCTGAAGCCTCAGAAAACCTGCTTCTAGCCGTCTCATTGCTTCGCTGCAGCGCATCTTGTCAAGCTTCCCTTCTTTACGGTAACAAGTCTCCAGCCTTTTACACACAGCATCTCTGTTTCACTGCCTGTTGTTAGAAATGTTCCTTCTGCATGACTTGTGTTTTCCAGAACAGGAGCTGGGCAAAGAAGGATGTTCCAAACCTTCCTTGTCATGATCACTTGCTCTGATTATTAAAAAAACAATGCATCCCAGCCCTCAGCCAGAATGCAGAACTCACTCAAACAGATCTGTTTGTTCCACACACACCTTTGGTGCCTATCATACGGTGGTGCCAGGGAAAGCAACTGAAAATGCACAGATGGGTAATATGGGGTCCTGCTCCCGAGGACCCTTGTCTGGATGGACACATTCAAAGTCATCACGTGTGCTAGAATCAAGGCAGGGGCAAAATGCCGTGAGGGCCACACTGGGCCCAGAGCTGCATTTGATTACATGATGAGTGGAATTGACTAAGTGAAGGCAGGGGCAGGAACTGATGATGACGATGATGATGATGGCAGACACTTATTAACTGCCTATTATGGTGATAGATGCTACGAAGAGTGCTTTGAATGAGAGGGACTTTAAAAAGTTCCTGAAAAATGGAACTAAAAGATGTATTTATTTGGGGGGGGCAAAAAAAACTTAAATCCATGCACAAGGAGTCTTCAGAAAGATTGTGAAAATGTGTTATGAAAAATCTGTGCAAATATTTCAAACTCAAACATCATTTTTCCATGAACTCGACGCGCATCCTCACAGATACATGATCAGACTCACTTTCCATGGGTGCTGTCATCCATTACTCAGATGTGGCAACCTCTTGCTTAAATGCAGTAGCCAAGTGCCAAAGGACAGGCTGACCAGGGCTCAGGGCCGCCTTCTGAGGACACATATCCCGCAGTTCTTCTCCACCTGTGCCCTTCACAAGACAGTCACTACCGACAGCTCTGCTATCCGCCCCACAGGAGCTCAAGGTCTTGAGAGAATTAGACATTTCTCTTGCAGAACTGTGCCCCTGAGAGCAATGCTCCAAACTGCAAGACCAAATCCATCACCTTAAGGCTGTGTCTTCCGTGTGTGTTTCCACAGCCTCTGTTTAGAACTAGTTCTAAGCCACTAGTCACAATGAGGCATGGCCTGCAGGCGGAGAGGCATGCTCAAAGGCCTCCTAGTTATTAACCAAACAACAAATCTCAGTGAAACAAAACTGAGTGAAACTGGCCTAGTCACAGTTTCCTTAATTCCACACACAAGCTACAACACAGAATTTGGAGAGAGTTAGAGAAATGGCTCCAGAGTGTAAGAAAAAAGAAGGAAGAACTAATATTTTAATTAGCCCATAATTACCTCATTCCTTCCAGGTCTTGGGTCCTGTTCACTAGAATTTTCTTCCAGAAAGCATTTCACTTTCTCAACCTCTTCCATGCACTGGAAAAAGGCCATTTTCTCCAGGCCGTTACTGCTGTAACACGTGCTGATTTCCTCCAGCCTCTTCACGTTGAACATCTTGGTGGTGAGTCCGATGAAGCCATTGCCTGTCGTGTGCGCTTCATCCCGCTCCGTCTCCGATTTATAAATCAAGACACAGTCGTGACCATTCAGGGCTCCTTTCTCTTGGCTGTGAAGAAAGCAAAACACAGAAAGTTCTAGTTATGTATTCACATATTTGACTTCTTGGGGGAAATGATCAGTAGAAGAAATCTCTCCTATTTAAACTGGAGAGGGGATCCAAAATTAGGATGAGAAATGTTAATATTCATATTGAGTTTCCATCGCTGGAACTTTGGAAGGAAAAAGTTTTTTCACTTTGTCCTACGAAAGCAAACAGAGCAATCTCAAGTTTCACCAGGCGACTAAACATTTCCCTTGTTGCATAAAATAAGATGTACTCGAGGTGGCCAATTTCAATATAGACTAGAGAGGATCTCCCAGTCTAACTGGGATTGCAGGTTCTGCTCCTTGATTCCTTGAGGAACGAGCTCACCATGAAAGGGGCCTCGGCTGCTCCTGGGGAATTCTGCCTTCCTCCTTGGAAGAGTCTCCACCAAAGGAATCCTCCTCCGGAGCTCTCGTCCTGTCCATGTCCAAGCGTGCGATGTTCCTCTTTCTAAAGGAATCTGCTCCTGTACAGCCCCGTCACACGACGGAGATACCCAGGTGCATTTCCTTGCATCTCCACGACCAGCCATGCGCTGAGGAGCTGTCTCTGTGCTCCCACTGAAACCCTCTCCCCACGTTAAGTAAGGCACACAGCACGCAGCACCGCTTTTATATTAGACACTCATGCACATCACTTGACGTGACAGGAGGAGGGGGTGAAGGAGAGAGAGACAAAGGGATTTGAATTTGCAGTGTTCCCCATGGCTGACTCCTGGGGCCCTCTCCTGGAAATGTCCTAAGAACTGCCTCTGAGTTGTTTTCTCAACTTGAGAATCACCTGTGAGTCTCTCACAAATGACAGCTTTCACTTACACAGCTCACAGGGCAAAATCAGAAACCTGAGTTCCAAAGTATGTAACATTCAGTGCTCTGCAAAGTTCTGCTTAGCCACATAGAGAACTTACATTCAGACAAATCAAAATGCAAATAGCATCAACCAGAGCCCTACAAACACATACCGGTTAGCATTCTTTCAAATTGCTCAGGGGGTAAAAATCATTTTTAAATTAAGAAACAAATGCATGGCTGTTTCTAAGCAAAATATCACATTTAATTGCAAATGCTACTCAACTTGGATCAAGGAGCCACAATGAAAATTCACATATTAAAACAAAAGCTTTAGGTCCAAGATATAATAGTTTTGCAAAAAAAAAAAAAAAAAAGTTCAATAAGCTCTACCTGGAATTTAGTACAGCGTTCTATTTAAAGAAACAGAAAGAGAAGGAGACTTGAGAGTTTATAACAATAAACAAAACTAATTACCGTGTGTAAGAGGACATCGTAGAGTTTTAACCACCCCAGCGTAGAGTGTCAGTTCCAGCAGATAGAAGGAACCTTTTCAGAAGTAAAGGTGACTGCAGAATCCTCTGGACCAAGTATTTACCCACAGCCAACAGGAGTCTTCTGAAAAGACAAGTGTCCACTCCAAGAGGAAGTCTCCTCTCTCTCAAATGCCACGCTGAGCCCCTGTTTAAACGAGTATGGCCCTTGAGCTCATGTTGCTCAGCTGTTGCTTTCTTAGTCAGATGGAGAAGAATATTAATTTTAGACACCAGGTTTTTCAAGGCCGATGGCTCCATTTCAGAGGTCAGGTAAGGAGAGGATGAGCTGGGAACACTGGATGAAATATCACCTTCACCTTTCCCTCTCCTCGATGTGGCAACACTCTCGTAATTACAAAGTTGGATGCGTCTTTGGTGATTCTCTGCCCAATCCTCCTGCCCCTTTCAGGCTCAGGATTATTCATGTGCCTGTTCCCAGCTGAGAGGACTCCAGTGTGCGAACCTCACAGCCACCATTGTCTGTCGTTTTACAACACACCCCACTGCCACATAGGGGATCTCCCGAGAACATTTTGCAAGTTGGCTTTTTTTTCTCTAATTGTATTTGCATGCAATTTGCAATATCCTCAACTGCTTATAGCTCTAGAGAAAGGTCAAAGGCACAGGCCTCCAGGTAGGTGTGAAGAACAGGCATGAATCTTTCAGAAAACTTTCCTTGCAAGCAACACTGTGACTTCTTCCTGGTTTTCCGCCACAAACCAAGGAAAGGGATTAATGCGGAGATACTGCACACCCAGTCCAACAATAGTGCATTTCCTTGGTTTAGAGACATAAGATCTTGGTTGTTTAGAAAGTAGAATTAGTATTATAAACAACCCCACAATTCTTCACGGCCTGGCCAATGGTCACCTTGGATTTGGAACCCTTGCTGAATCCTCTGCTCCTCACCAATGCCTGTAGCATTTGCTTGCTTTTAAAAAAAATCTTAGTTTTAATTCAGATCAATGTATTCTATATAAAATAAAAATACATATTTCCTTCCATTTTAAGAAGCATGTAAAGAAATATAGCAAAATCTTTTTTAAGAAAACAGAAGCTTTATTTTTTCCAGAATTAGAGAACTTTGTTCTTTAGGAAGAATAAATAGGCATGACTTTATATTTGTGAAAAAATAAGTCATTTTTGCCAGTGTAAAAATACTGATAAGGTGACACATGTCCCCATCAAAAGAACGTGTGTGGCCTGCTGCTGATTCAACCCTCTGTTACGCAGACCATCAAAGCAACAAAATCAGACTTTCTACCTTCCTTGCTGTAGCAAATCAGACACAGGCTCTAGTGAGTCAGAACTAGTAGAATCTACTCCTTTGCCTCTTTTTTCAAAAATGAATATCTTACTCTAGAATAGTTTTAGATTTAAAGAAAAGGTATGGGAGTCTAACATTGTGGTATAGTGGGTTAAGCCACTGCCTGTGCCACCAGCATCCCATACGAGCACCAGTTCAAGTCCTGGTACTCCACTTCCAGTCCAACTCCCTGTTAATGTACCTGGGAAAGCAGCAGAAGATGGCTCAAGTGCTTGGGCCCCTGCACCTACATGGAGGACCTGGTTGGAGTTCGAGGCTCCTGGCTTCCCCCTGGGCCAGCTCTGACCATTGTAGCCATTTGGGGAGTGAGCTACCACATAGAAGATATCCCCCTCTCTCTCTCTTTGTAGTTCTACATTTCAAATAAATAAATAAATATTTTTAAAAAGAAGATATATGAAGATAGCACAGGGAATTCCCCTATATTTTGTACTTCATTGGTAGAGTACACTTGTCACAATTAATGAAGCAATGTTGTTATTCCAATAACTATAATACTTAATTCTATTGCATTCTCCTATCACCCCATGTCCCTTTCCTGTTCCAGAATCTCATGCGGTCTTCCTAGTTAGATATTTCTATGAACAATATGCATTCAATAAATATCTACTGCTCAGTTACTAGAGAGAGCCACCTTTAATTGTATCTCCTGTCCCGAAAAGCAAAAGTTAATGAAAATAATTCATGATAATTATCTTCTAAAATTAGGTGACATTATTCTAGTTCTGCTATGTCACATTGTTCCCAGCTCCTGATGGTATGGAAAACAAGAAGCCTAGTACATACTTGACCACACCATTCACACATAAAAACTAAGCAATTCAAGCATAACCAGTATGTTCTGCGCACCTAACCTCAGGACCCTAGGTCCATTCAATAAAGTATTTTAAATGCCTTAAAGATCCTCTTATGTCTTGAAAAATTCATTAGTAAGTTTATGAGCAGGCCCAGCAATACTTTTTCAGTATTTCTGTGACATTTTGGGGTAACATCAGGAAATCAGCATTCTACAGAGCCATGGAAAAGACGCCATTAGCGGAGTAAGAGGCTGTGCTGTCAACAGACACACAAAGATGTATTGCCATGGCTCTGTCTACTGGTTGGCATTCAAACCAGCCTGGTGACACTAATAGTTTCTACCTGGATACAGCACTCTGAATGGGTCCAGAAGAGTAAGGCCTCTTGAATATTTACACACAAGAGTAGAACAATCTTCACAAATCAAAATGTAAATGGTAGTCTATCTTATTCCTGTTATCCACATTACAATTTAATTTCCTTTCTTTAAAAAGAGGGCCAGTGCAGTGGCATAATGGATAAAAGCTGCTGCCTGCAGAGCCAGCATCCCATATGGATGCCAGTTCGAGTCCCAGCTGCTCCACTTCCAATCCAGCTCTATGCTATGGCCTAGGATAGCAGTGGAAGATGGCCCAAGTCCTTGGGCCCCTGCACCCACATGGGAGACCTGGAGGAAACTCCTGGCTTCTGGCTTCAGATCAGTGCATCTCCGGCTGTTTCAGCCATCCTGGGACTGAACCAGCAGATGGAAGGTCTCTCTCTTTGCCTCTGCCTCTGCCTCTCTATAACTCTGCCTTTAGAATAAAATAAATAAATCTTTAAAAAAAAAAAAAAGGCACTACTGAATACGACTTACAAAGCAAAAATTGATGAATTGTGCTTTATCAAAATTCAAAATATTTGCTCTTCAAAAGATACCATGATGAAAATGAAAAGGCCAATTGCAGATTTCGAGAAAATACTATGAAATCATATATTTGATAGAAGACTTGTATCTATAATATGTAACAAACTCTTTTACAACTCGATAGATAACAGGTTGACAAACGTCCTAATTTTAAAATGGACAAAAGATGTGAATTGGCATGTCACCATAAAAGATACACGTAGTTAATAAGCATAGGAAAAAATGCTCAAAATCTGTCATCAGCAAGATGAAAACTATAATCATAATGAAATAGGAGAGTTATAATTAAAAAGACAAAGAAAAGCAAACATTACTAATAATATGGGAA